TTATTAATGACATCGTGGACTGGACTACAATGATGAGCACACAAATCTCGGTAGTAGATTATCCCTAACATTTGTTTTATTCCATTCACGCGCTTCCTGTGGCATGATTTCCTGTTGCTACAGTGTTTACTGCGTAGGTGTTGTTTACTTCATGACCACCATAGTTATACGTGATTCACGTAGTGCATTCATGTTACTAAATATAAACCAGAATATACGTCAATTATTAGAATAAACGATTTGTTCAAATAGTTTAATCTGATTAGGAACTTTTTATATTTACATCCAGTACCTGTAATATTATTTCGGGGTGACGTTGTTATCTTGTTAACAAAGAAAAGTTGTAGAATTTCTGTATGTTTTTTTATTTGGTTTCAATAGTTGGCATATATTTCAGACAAGCTTGTCTTCACATGTTTCAGAAAAACGAGTAGATAAATTCAAGTCATTATTGACTGTTTTCTCAGAAACTACTTATATCAACCGTTTACAATATATCAACTTTCGTGGTCTATATATCTCCTAAACTGCAAAATATATATCTGTTTAGGATATCATATACGCGTCATTTTTAACTGATTGATACAATACAGATTTTTTTCAGCAAGAACAGTGTACAGTTGCACTTTACCACTTATAATCCAACCAGTCTGATAGATGCTGATATTGAGCAAAAAGCATCTCGCGAGTAACGTTACACACAAAAAAGGATATTTTATACATATTATTATGTACACTTTTTCTTCGAAACCTGTATTGGATTAGTTAAGAATAACGTGATTAAAAGTATTACTAGTCTTATTGCGTATTGTCTTATCACATTGTTCAGGCGTTATACGCAAAAAAGAAAAGAAAAAGAATCCTGGTAAATGTGACTTAATCAGATCTTCAGAAAACTTCGTATGTTGTAACCCAGTTGATGTACCTTTAAGTCCCATCCACCCTTCAAATTCTATCTTACTATTTACCATATTCTATTTGGCCAAATTCCATCCCTGTCCTCTCTTGTATTGAAAACAATAGGACGAAATTGAACCAATCTTTTGGCTTGATCAAGTTACCCAAAGGAATGAAGGAAAGACTTCATGATTTTTTTAGATTTGTTGTTCTAAGACTGTGTTATTATTTTATAACACCGAAAGCTTAGTTATTTCAAACGCATGCGCATAACGGTCATAGGATTTGATGACATACTGGTCTGTCGTGTCAATAGCTGTACACAACAAAATGATTGAAAGATTTTTTTTTTATCCGGTCAGAAAACCCATATTCATCCTGTTAAGAATGGCATAACTTAAATTCCAGTATTACTGTGAATGTTACATTAACATGATACGCTGCTTTACGTGAAAAAAAACAACAGTAAACGTGAATTCTGTTTGCAACATTCTGTACATTTAACTAATGATTTTTTGTGTATTAAAAAAGAAAACGAAATCTGATAAGCCTGTTTCTGAAAACAATAACTAAGTAATTAGTTGTTTTACCGGCGTACTTTCGGTTTCCATTTTTGTTCAATAAAGTGTGTAGTTAAAAGATCACGGCGCTTGTAGCAATGAGATGTTTACCCAAAGGAAAGATTATGATTTACGTTTGTACTGATTTATATATAGCTGATTAGGACTTATTGAGAAATATGACCTGTCTTGATTCACTTTCACCGTAACATTTTCGAGATTAAACATATTTTTTCTGGAGCACCAGTTTTGAACTACAAATATAAGTTTCCCTGGTCAACAAAGAGAGATTCCAAAACTGCTGTAACTTAGGCCTCCTGGACAGTTTATACAGAACTAAAGTTTATAGAATCTGTATCCAGAGTCTAGTCACATGATTTTATATTGTATATATTTAAAAACATGAAAATATATCTTCATTACTGACGAGCTTGCGTGTATAATTATATCGCCCGAAAGTTGTAAGTCAATATTTCTTTCACAACAAGTTTATTTGCACATTTAGAGGTTATTCCCTATTCATTACTGTCGCTGTTGGCATTATCACACACATACCTGTTGCCCGGACCAGCGAAATCTCAACAAAATATTTATATTATAAAACCAAATGGTATCTTTTAAAAATACTGGCATGGCTTGCTTGTTCGGGCACTTGATTCGCAATCTGCGATTCGCGGATTCGAATTCCGTCACTTAACACGCTCATTCTTTCAGTCGTGAGGGCGTTATAATATGCAATCAATCATGCTGTTCGTTGGTAAAAGAGTAGCCCAAAAGCTGGCGGTAGGTGGTGTTGACTAGCTGCCTTTCCTTTAGTCTTCGCTTCAAAATTAGAGATGGCTATCTAAGATAGCCCTCTGGTAGCTGTGCGCGAAACTCAACAAACAAACTTTTAACAAGAACTAGAAAACACAGGGTATATCATTGTATACAGTTATGTGCTTGTGATGTGTTTGGAATTTTTCAACCTGAAGACTCGTCATTACTAATCCTAAAGCTTCATTTATATCTTTGAGAGTTACATGAATTAAAATATATATCTATGGACAGTCCTATTTTGACATTTCCTTGACAAATTATTCTAAAACTTGTTTTAAAATTCAGTATGATTGCACAAGCATGACAGGATGCAGTCGTATATATATCTAGTAGAAGCTCACACCCATGACACGCTCTTAATCATATATTTTCTCTATAATTTTCGGCGTCTGATATTATACTCAAGTTGACAGCAAGTGTAATTTTCCATTCGAATTGGTTATTGCATCCAGTAATGGAGTTTTTACAAATACTGTTGTTACGTGTATTTTTCTCTTTACTATATGAAATGGTATCATTTTATAAATACGTGTAAGTATGGTTATTTCTTGGGTCAAGTTACTGACGACTTTTATTTGACATTCAATATTATAGTATTGGGGACAAGTGCAAAGGCTATGAACTGTTTTCTTAAAACTCCAACTCTCTGTAGGTTATCTTGTGCTTGCACGGTTACCATGAGTGTAAACACTGGTTCATATCCTTCCAAAACTTAAATTTGTAACAAGGAATATTAGATTAAAATGAAGTTGACTTCTCTGGTGAAAACATACGCGTGTCAGAAAAACATTTTGGTATGTTTCTTTTTTCAGCTTTTGAAATGGTCACATGCACAATTAAACGTAAGCCTCTTATTTGTGACTTCTAGTCTCTAATCAATGGAAAAAGTCTCAACTCACATTGCTCCTATAGAAATAAACTGTTGGAAGTTAGGTCTGATTTTTTTCGTGTTTCTAAAACCATGTTAAATGATGAAATCATCCTTTAAGATTACAAAGTGAATCTACGTGATGACACCACTTCGGCATCACCCCTGCTATACACACGTCATAGAATATTAATAGGAGTCAGAGCTTCTTTGAGTCATTTACGTTGCTGCTCGATTTTTGTTTGCTCGATGTCTTTCTGTTTTTGTAAACTGTAACATTCGTGTTTAATGCCTAACCAATTCATATATTAGACTAAACACCAATTAAAGCAATTAGAAATTATTAATAAAGATGTTTTTGTTGGAACAGTCTGAAAATTTCTTTCAGATATTTTATGACAATTTTAAAAATGAAATATTACGTAGGAAATAATACATTTTCTTGCTCTCTACTTTGAAAGAGTCACCCTGAAACGTGGATTTTGTTTGCGAAGAACTTGCACACAAAACTGTTCACAGTCATAGTTAGTTCATGAACCTGTAGTTCTGTGAAAAAGTAGTGTCGAGTTCAATCATTTCGTATCAGTCTAGCCTCATTTCCTCGGATAAATATAGTGAAAATAAAGGAAACTGGTCCTCCGTAGGAGCATACTTTCTGACGTCAGTGGCGCCTGAAGCAAGCAGGCGGGTTTTCAAGGAACCCTGACTGTCGAGTAAAATCCTAGCTCTTGTGGTTTCAAGAAGTTTTTAAATCCCAGAAGTACGTTATTAGCTTTTCTGGGAGTGGTGGTTAGTTTGTTACATGTATGTAGAATATTTTTGTTTTCGTGTTTTGTGAACACATAAATCAAATATGCATCAGGTAAAAGCAAGGAAAAATAATTCAAGAAACCAGCAGGAAAAAATAAATAAAACAAATACAGTGAAAATATAGCGTAATGGCTGGTGTAATTATTTGTTGTAACAATGAAAGACGACTTCCTGAAAATCAGTAATCCAAAGTAATAATCACAACTGTTACTGAGCAACATATGGTATAGAGTTTTATAAAGGTTTTATATTATATTAGTTTTTTCTTATAGTTAAAATAATAACAACTACATATTTACACGAGTTTCAAGGCCTTTTAGTCTCATAATGTAAGTTAGGATCACGAACCGTGCTTATTTCATACTTTAGTACGGTATTATATATGGTTTATTGGTATTTTGTTATTGTCACTTTGAAGTTTAATGATGTTGCTCAAGCTGTATCGAATAGGGTATGTGATCTTATCGTGTTTAAATAATTATTTGCTTTTTTATTTCTTTCAAGCAAAACACTGTTTTAAATCAAACCGTACGCAAGTAACCAACAGTGCAAACTGGTTTGACAAGAAATGAATGGTACGAGGCCGAAAAGTTCATAATTTCAACTTTCTTCTATTTCTGTTGTGTCTTAACCATTTGTTTATTTTCTCTGTCGCGCCAATAACGTGTTTTTAATTGTTTCTTTGGGAAATTATTATTTTTAGTCTTCAAACCTTAAAATGGTAGATCGTTTTCTGTTGAAATATTAAACAAGTTCGTATAAAACGAGAACTTCTGGCACTATTTTTGAGAATGACAAATTACTTTATAGCAGAAAAGTGTACAAATACACATGTTAGGACTGATGTTCTGAGAATCGTAAAATTTTGTTAGAGAAAGAAGTATCTGGAGCAAACCATAAATACAAGCACACAGATAAACTGAATTGTGCAACCTTAGTTATTGTAAAATTATTGTGTTTTTTTTTTACACTTACAGATAAACTGTATTGTGCAAGCATTAGTTATTGTGTTTTTTAATAGTAAAGGCTGATTTTCTATCCCACAGGAAAGAGTGATCGATAGAAGATGTCAAGCAACGTTGACACGACTACTTTGATCAGTCTTACCCGGAACAGAAATAAACTTATGCGTTTAGCCCAAGGCATAAAGACAAAGAAAAAGCCCGGCAGTAAGAAAAGTATCAACCTGAAACTAGACCCTGCTTACACGAACATAGAACATTTGGTATTCGGCACTTATCGACCTCGATCCACTACACCTGTAGTGGAAGACAAGAGTAAAGGAGATAATAAGACTGACAGCTACGAGCAAATAGAAAATGTTACTGTGGTGCAGGATGATGTTTGCAGCAAGGACGACGACCCCAGCATATCGTATGAGAGCATTGCTTGTAGCTTAGAGGTACAATCGAGAGATGGCGCTACGGGTCAGTCAACTGTGAAAGAAAGTGAACATTCCGAGTTTGAAACAAACGGCAGTGTGCTCCAGGCAGCTACACGTCGAATCTCCCCAGAGATCCCCGAGGGTTGGAACGGGAAAAATGATCATACCACTGTTTCTACTTCCTTTTTTAAAGGTAGTGAAAGAGATGACGAACAACTGTCAATACTTACTTTGGAAAGAGATGTTTGTAGCGCAGATGAACAAAATTGGTTAGCAAAAACAGTTAGAAGGGGCAGTGAAAGACTAACTGATAATGGTTTTCCGTGTGAACGTGGCGATATGGAGCATATATTACATATGGGTGATAGTGAAGCAGTGGATAACGACTTACATCCTACTCTTAACCATTCATCTGTAAAGCCTGACAATGAAACTTTCACGGAGGACCAGTGTGGAGCATTTAAAACATCTGAATCTAGCTTCTGTAGTGAAGAGTTGGGTGATTCTTCCTGTGATAATTTTGCTAATGCTGTGAATTACACCGATGACTCGCAGTTTTTTGTGACTCCAGACAGCTCATATTTAAGCTTAAATAGAGAGGACCATGAGGAAACTGATGGTGCTGAGGTTTTTTGCACTCCATGTGGAAATTTTAATGGAGAAAATTTTAGAGAGCCCGAAAATGTAATACAAAGTAATGAAAATAACGAAAGTGACAACAAAGTGTCTGGAACGCCTATTAGTAGTGGCGATTATATGTGTGTGACTGCAACAAAATCATTTATGTCCAACCTAAGAAATGAAGATACTATCAACACAAGTAAACATAGGACTCCTACCAGGCATAATAAACAAATCTTTCAATCTACAGGCACTGTGAAAAAACAGACTAAGAGAATACCAATCATAGAAAGGGAAGTTTATCATTCAGTAGGAAGTTGCCCACTTAACAACCATATTAATGATTCTCATTGTATTGATAAGACTAAAGTTAACTTAACACCAACAGTAAAGAAAAAATTGAGTAATGAAAACGTAGAACTTTTCAGGACTAATTCTAATAGACAGAACATAAAAGGTGATGTGACATCTAGTATTGATGAACTTCTTAACATGCAGAAGGAAGGAAGTACTTGTGTTAGAGGCTCTAGCAAGCTATGTGGTAGACCTAGTTCTGTACCTACAGGAGTTCTGTGTGATTCAGATTCTAACTCTTTGTTACATAGCCAGTCTTTTCCTTGCAAGTCCTCTCTCAGTAAGTTTCAGAAGTTTCGGTCAACATCTATTTCTGATAATTCTAAAATTAGTTTAGAAGGAAAGAAAAGTTCTGATAAAACAGGCTCTCCAGTTCTTCTGACATATAGGCCTCTGTCTTCAACAGCAAAGCTAGAAGAAACTCATCGAAACAAATGTGACAATAGTCAAATAGCAGATACATCTTCCTTGAAAGTATTAAGAACCCCAACAGAAAAGTCATTTGAAAACCAATCAAAACATTCTTCAGGTATTCCTAAACCCAAAATTCATGTTAAACGAACTTTAACACCCTTTAGCTCACCACAAATGTTTTCAGCTTCCAATTTGGTTACAAAAGAAAAACCTGCTAATGAAGAACTTTGTGACTTAAATGATGATGTAAATATTTCTCTAGATCACTCAGGGTTTTTTAGAACCAAGAGTATTTCATATGGTTTCAGGAAAAAATCAGATCAAACTTTTCGTAAAGCTGCTTCGGTATGTGAAAAGTCGAAGGTTAAACCACCAAACATTCCAACTATAAGAAATCTTAAGATACCCAAACATGGAGACTATATTTCTGATTCTAGAAGTTCCATTTCTTCATCAACTGGAGAATTTAAAAATGAAATTTCATCTGCAAGTCAGAAACAAGAAAAATCTGTACAAAAGAATAGCAGAGTATGTGGTGAAGCTGTTACATGTAATATTACAGTTACTCCACCATCTTATATAGAAAATGATGCTATGGATATTAATCATACAATAGGAGGTAGAAAGAGTGTTAATGGAATTTCATCAAGTTTAGGAAATTTTAACAAGGCACCATCTAGGTCATCTTTAAATGAGTGTCAATCTAATTTAACATCTAAACCTATATCAAAATCACCATTATCTAGCTCAAGTTCAAGCCTAACTGGATCTAAGACCAGCCTTTTATCAAAAAATGATGTTTTGAGTTCAACAAAAATCATCAAGAAGATAACAAGAAATGACCAGACTGCTCACCAGTCAAGTTCAGAATCTTTAAAGCATTTGAAATATGGAATGACAGTGCAAAAATCATATCAAACGGATAAAATCAAACTTCCTTCATATTTAGGATCTTGTACAAATCATGACATGCTCCAAAACACATCCAAAGATGAACAGGACTTTACCAAATTTTCAGTAAAGACTAAAGTTGACCTTGAATATGGAGAGAAAGAAAGCAAACTTGTTCAGGGTTCTTGCCATAATCACTCTGGAATTCCAGTTCCATCTTGTAACGAAATTAACAATTCAAAAAAAGAAACTTTAAGAAGAACAAACTCTGCTTCTAAAAATAGTTTTAATATTAAACCTCCAGTCCCGATTAAGCCCACCAAAATTCATAGCCCTCCTGTAGTCGATAAAAAGTGTATTTTGACTAACTTCAGTGTTTCCAACCAAACATTATCTACTAATGAGACAGTTCAGAAATCATATAAAAAGTCAGATACTAATCTTTCTTTCATGAGAAACTTCACAAATAAGAACCATTTCTCAAATTCTGATAACTACAAATTCCAGCATGTTCCTGAAACCCCCAAAAATAGTAAAAATGGTACAGTTTTAAACAATGATAGTATTGGATCAGTTTCCCAAACCTCAAATATTGATGAAATAGATGGTTATAAAGTAAAGGATAATGAATTTTCTGGTACCTATTTAGCTCCCAGTGACAGTTGGCCATTTGAAACACACCCAAGTATATCAAACTCTTCTCCGAGGTCCTCAACCCAATTATGTAACAGTGCCAATATATATCCCAATTGTTGTGTAGATTGTCATCAAGACACTAGCATGATAAATCATAAGACTTCCAGGTCCTTATCTGTGGATAGTGGTTATCAAAATGTCATCAATACACAGGAAAAGTCTTTTAAAAAGTATAATCATGGCCAAACTTGTGATCCCCTTCAAGATATTTGCAGAAAAGTTCATGGAGAGAACATTCGTGATACTAAAGAGGCAACACCCTCACGTGTTATTAAAAGGTCAGAATCTTTTGAAGAATGGGCTGTTGAACACTTAAAAGCTTTGATTTCTCCACAAGATCAAGAATTCAACCAAGTAACTCCTCCTCAAGTATTCCCAAAGAATAATCATGGAAATGAGGTTCCAAATGACTTGGATAATAAAACACAAGTGAAAACCATAAGAAAATTAAATAAGAAGAGCTATTCTGTTCCAAACAGAATGATTCATAATGCTACAGGTGTTAGAAAAAACCCATCTTCATGTCTGCCTGTTAGGTCGCTTTCCTTGAGCTCCAGCCCTCTTCATTATAAGATGGCTTCTAGCTCTATTAGAGGATTTGATGCAGCTAAAACATTACTTCCAGAAAGTGTATGGGATCATAGTGAAATGGGAATGTCAGATATTGAAGAGAAAGATGAGAATTCTTCTTCTGGTGCAAGTAGAGCAGGGTCTGAAGGACCAGCAGAACATTGCAGAGAGCATACTTTAAATTCTAAACGGCACTATTCTATAAAGCACCTTCTACCAGACAGGCTTGATGCTGCTAAAAATAAATCTAGAATTACACCTAAATTTAAATCAGAATCACTGGGATTGGAAAGACTTCTTCCTATTGGATTTCCTTTAACTAGTATTACATCAGGTGAAAGTCTCCAATTATTTGACAAAGAAGATAGAATAATAACTAGTACATCTTTTGGTGTAAATGACAACAATACTAAATCTTCTAGTTGGTCATCATTAAAGAAGAAAACTGTGGATGATTACAGTAATGGGTCGATTGCTAAGGTAAGTGTTTATACAGATTATTTGTTATTCTCTTTGACTAACAAGTGTGTTAACTTCTGTACAGATATGCTGGATTTATTATTTTACAATTATTTTTAATAGTGCTCAATTTGATAAAAATTTAATTGGTGAAATTGAATTTTTATAAATCTTTAAGTCAGTAATATTTCAAAAGATTTATTTTGTTCTGCTATATACTGCTTTGTTGAAGTTATTTCTTGAAATAATTTGCATCATATGATTTCTAACATCTTCTGGATGTAGATGTTGTTCAAAGTGAGCAGCAGGCTTCATATGAATGTTTACAAGTTATTATTTTATTTCAACCACTTTCCTCTTTGTTTTAAGTGGAAGTACATTGCTAAATACATGGTTATGTAAAATATTTTGATTGTTAACCTACAAGAAGTCCAGAGACTTTCTGTTTAGCTCCTTTTTTTTCTCATTTAATTTTTAATCAGATAATATATATATATTCTGACTCCACCCATTTTATGTACTTAAAACATAATGGATGGGAGACCAGGCTGTGTTACTTCTACCTGCATAAAGGTGGTGGAAGATTATTAATAACTGAAAAACAAAATATACTATATTCAAAATCTGATGTTAAAATGTTTTTTGTATGTTCCTACTTAACAGAAAATGTACCACACTTGAATGACACTTTAAATTAGGAGTGACATTGAACTACATTAGACACAGAACATTATAGAATTAAGATAATATTGGGATAATCTGGTTTTGTTGAATAAAGTATAATTAAGAAATTCATTGTTTTTATACAAAAATTCATTTACCTAAAATAACATACATGTGTGTGTATATAATTGGTTGCATGTCTGACTTCATCCTAACAACTGAATATTAGTATTTTCTGTATTTTACAGTTTTCAGCAAAGTTGGTAGGAAAAATATCTATATTTATACAATTAGGTTGATTTTTGATTGGCTAAGTGTTACATTCAAGTGCAGTGACAAGGTTGAAACATTTTGAAATTTAGATATGTATTACTGGTTAGAATGTATTCTATCTGTTGACAGCATACTGTATTGTTTCAAAAATAATGATGAAAAGGACACATGTTAATGTTTGAAATTTAGATTTGTATTACCTTTGTTTTTCTTTGTCTGTGTGCACCTTGACTTATATTATGAATTCAAAGAACCCCTTGAGTAAAAGCAAATGAAAATATGTTATATGTTAATCACACTACATCTACTATAACTAGTGCCGATGAGGCACTTCACTCAGTACCAAGGCTTTTAAGGCCAGCTGGTATATGACCGACATATTAGTGGTCAAGTGAAGTTCATTCCCATCTTCCAGTATGTCTAAACTTCTTGTGTGCTCCAGAAAAAGTTCAAGGGTCAAGTTTTATGCAATTACAGATTGATAACCGCTTCCCATCCATTATTGAGTAGTATCCTTGTGTAATAAACACTCGAACTTTTTGGAATAATCATATTTAACTGTATTAGGATGAAGAAAAAGTTAGCATTTTACATGTGACCACTTAAGTATGGACAGAAATTGTTTTTAAGAAATTCATTTTCTAAAGAATGTAAACAAGTCTTTGGTGACATTGATTGTAATCTTTTAACATCATGTATTTTACTTTTTAATAAGAATAATATGGATGAACATATTTTATAGTATTATATGATACTGAATTACGGTATTTGCAATATTGTTTTTATAGTATCTTTAATATTATTTTGATGTTTCTTTTAGTAATAGTATTTCATTACATACAGCTCTACTTGTTTCAACATCCTTACAGTATGATTTTCTGTTAAGTTTTTTCATGGTTTTTGGCTTTCGATTAAATTACGCATGTACATCAGGCAGGTGGTAGCATTGCCTATGTAGGAATGGGATTGGTCGTCTAATAGGTCATCAGAACTTTATACTATACAGTGTTTTCTTTTATATCAATATCTATGTAATGATTGAGTCACAAGTTCTGGGAATGTCTGTAAACATCATAGCAACAGTTTGAATTTCTTGTTCTTCCTTCTTCTGCTTCATTTTTATTACATGATAACTTAAAAATTAAAACAATGGTGTCAACCAATTTCACTGAGGTGACATAGTTTCAAATGGAGTATCTGCTTTTATAAGTATTGTTAATAACTAGTAGTAATTAAAAAAATTCATAATTCTATTGTAAACGATATTATCATTACCCTTTGAAGTTAGTAGTCTTACAGAATTATGGTGTTCCCTTAAAAAGCTTAAATACAGAATGAAGCAGAAATTAGTAGCCAATAATAGGTAAACAATAAGTATTACAGTTGAAACCTCATTGTATTTAGAATTTGGTTATAGATACAACTTTCCTATGTCTATTGAAACATTGCATTAAAAAATAAAACAAGTATACAAAATACTTTTCAAAAAAGGAAGTAAATGTAGGTGTGGCTAATATCAATCCTTCAAAAAGAATGCAAACAAGATAGTAGGGATGGCATTTGCATCATCCCTATATAACAGCACAGACAAGTATTAACATATAATGTGTCCGTGCTTTTATGTAGGGATGATGCAAGTGCCATCCCTACAATCTTGTTTACATTCTTTTTTGAAGAATCGATATTAGCCACACCTACATTTACTTCCATTTTTGAAAAGTTGTTTTCTTTACTTGTATACTTTACGCTCAACATAGTAAAAATTCACCTCAGATATAAATACTAACATTTCTTTCTGATGCTATTGTGTCATACCACTTCGAATGCATAATTAGTAAAGGTAAACAAAGTTCGCCAAACTACTTATACTTTCGAGTAATCTCTGCTACTCGGCAAATATGGTGGTAGAACAGCGTATTAGGCCGAGTACGATGTCTTGCATTTGTTACTTTCACCGAAAACTAAGGAATTGCCCTACAGGAATTACGAAGTGCACCTACACCAACTTCCAGCTTGCCATCCAGGGTCGTTTTATCCTATAGACAAAATGGGTAGTTGCCAAGGTCCCACCACGCGTTGCGAGTATAATAATAAACCAGATTTTTTAAGAAATATATATTTCTCTTTTTTTTATTTCCTTAATTTTTCATCACTAATAAATTCAGTTGATCAAATTGTATGGTATTTTCTTAAAAGCAAGGGGGCCCCCCACAAGTTTATATTTCGCCCAGGGCTCACTAGTGCCTTAATGCGGCACTGTTTCCACCCTTACTGCGACTGTTGAAATCCAGTCATCATAGAAGCCAAAATGAAGACACGTCTCCCATATTAATTTAAAAAAAAACATTTTCGATTTTTAAGGTCTTTTGATAGCGATGGTGAAATTTATACACCGAAAATGTAAACACTGTGCATTATTTTCAGCACTCCGTGTCATCACCATGAACCAAGGAAAACAAGCACGTAATTAAATTGTTTATTAATAACCATCACATAACGAACTTATTAATATACTGTTCACTACCGTGAGATCCACGTCTTGCATCATATTGAATAATTCTGTGTTTTTACCTGTAACAACACTCAGTGTAAAGAACTGACCAAACAAATTAGGTGAAACCACTCATTTTCTATGTAAATTACTTAGGGAATCCTAACGATAATTAATGGAGTTAATTGCAATATTGACGGTATTTTTCTTTACATTTTTGTACGTGACAAGAATTTCAATTTTAGAAATCCTGTAACACGCCAAATCATGGACCAACGTGGAATTTGGTGCATATATAGTTTATAGATATTAGTTTACAAATCTTGCGAGGCCCATGTCTACTCCACCGGTAATTTTAGGGTTAAGATAGAGACTTCTGACAAATTAAATAGGTGATGAAACTGTTTCAGGAAAAATCGGTACATGACTACAGGTTAAATGTTCTGTAAGTTCCAAAACCTATTTCGAGAAAATTAGTAGAAGCTACATGTAGGCTAGTCTGATTTTCAGAAAATCTAATACCATCAGACATATTTGAGTAGAAGTTTGCAAACACATTTTTCTTAATAATTTAGGGGTGTTTAATTCATTTCTGTTGTCTGCTAAGCTGTAACTGTCAACTTTAACCTTTGGAAAACAAAATTGCCGCCGAAAAATAGGACCAGAGCTTGTGTTGCATACTACTTATATGGTAAAACTTTTAAAATACTGTTTTCGCAATGATTTAAGGGTGCTGAATCCAAATTTCATGTCTAGTAAATCCTAGGGCAAAGTTTGACCTCCAAACTACATCCAAATAAAATGGCCACCAAAATTGGAGCAGCAACACCATTATGCTATGTAATTTGTTGAGAGCAAAAAAAAACCACAGTAAACGGAACAAACTGTCAGAAGTCTGATATCAGAGAAACTAGTTTCGACACAATCGTGCGTCCTCTTAAGTCTCACGTTGTCTTCTGGAGGCTGTAGAGGACGCACGATTGTGTCGAAACTATTTTCTCTGATATCAGACTTCTGACAGTTTCTTTCGTTTACTGTGGTTTTTTTCACTAATTGCTGTACACGATATTGCGTTCTTTTATTATCGTTGAGAGCTATTTTATTATACCTTTTATGATTAATCCATAATAAAGATCTAGTCATATAATTTCATCTAGAATTTATTTTTTCAAGCTAAGTGAACTAAAAACTCTTTAGTAATAAGTATTCGTAACCTGTATTTTTGGTATGGTAGGCATATATTTGAGTACTAAAGGCATGGTAAAGGACACTAGATCTTACACATACCATGACCTTACTCTGTTGATAATAATAAAATAAGTGCACATATTTACGCAGCAGAGGTTAGACTTAAGATCAGACACGTTCCTTTTAGATTAGGAGTAAGTGGAGTTTAGAGGAAGGACGCGTTTTAACGGTTAAATAAACCAACAGTTAAACTTCAAAAACCACCTCTTAATCACAACCAGTAAGTCTGAAGGTTCAGAACAGTATGCCAGCTTAGCTGTGTAACAGCTGTTTAAGTAAACTTGGACAGGGTTAATAGTTGGGTATATAAGTGTAATTAAAATACTTGTTTTAAGAAATCTGGAGA